GGTCGAGCGCAAGAACAGATTGATGAAGGAGAATAAGAACATAGCATTTAGCATGCTCATTAAAGTGCCACCAAGAAACAGCCAACGGCCACGTGCAGCCAAAAGCGCAGAAATACTAAAGGAAACGAAGACGACCGTCGTGCCTGTAAACATTTTATTGTATAATTACTGTATATCGAATTATATTAACATAGAAAGAATATATAGAACATATCTGTATTTATTCTATGTGAAACAAATATTTCTTCTAAAGTTTATTTTTATAGATAAGTTTAGAGATATTACTTTAGATCGTTCATTTCGTTTGCATAAAATAAAAAATATGATTTTATATTTTCGACTGCAAGTTGGTTGATCGCAAAAAATTTACAGGCAGGCTGTAGATTGCGCATTACTGATTTAATTGATTATTTAACGTATCACTTTTTATAAAATTCTATAAATATATAAAATTTCTTAATTCATCAATTTGTTTTTCGAGTCTCGTATACATAAAAGTGGACTTGGGCGAAATCAATTTTACTTGAACTTTAGACCAAGTTGATTAATTTCGAATCAATGTAATCGATTGTGGGCAGTGTCTTATCTCAAGACGAATGGCTAAAATGCTGGAAACAGCGCAAAATAGTTAAATCAATATGATTGACTCACCAACTAATGCTGTCATTACAATGCTCGGGTCTATGCTGACCACCAACTCAAGCAAGGGCCCCAAACCAAGACCGGATAAGAATGCAAATCCCAGGAGGTAGCTGAGACGCAGTTTTTGGTTTTTGCCATTGTCGGGTGTTGTCATCAGCGCAATGAGAAGGCCTAGGGTGCCAATGGTCGTCAGCAGATTGGCCTGCAGAAATTGCGTGTACATGTGCACGTAAGCTCCAGCAGCCGCTGACACGGTGGAAAGGGACAGGCAACCGTACACATTCTTTAAGTGTTGCCTGACTGGTGCATTTCTGAAAACAGTCATTATTGTCGGTTAATTCGCTTTTCATTTCATAATATACATGTAAATTATTTAAGACAATTCTGCAAATATATTCTGATGCTGTAAAAAAAAAACATCTCATTTACATATCAGAACATCTACATATCAGAATGCATTATCAATACATCTTTCATATATAGACTAGCATAATTTTGAAATTTGAATGTCTCATTTTATATGAAACCCAATCTCTTTGTAAGTCACAAAGAAGTAGAGATTTATGTTTCAAAATTATTACTGAAATTCGAAAATAAATCTTTCGTTTATCTAACTCTATAAATAATATAACACAATTTTCTCTTTTGTCTCTAGGTTTCTTCGCATGCAATCCCGGACTCGAACACATTTTATTATACGCAGTTAAGTCAAATATCACGATTCATGTTCTTTTTTCAGATGTTCTTTTGTATCTTGCCTGGAAAGTTGATTCAAGGCCATTCGTAGGATATTTATATCAACGCACTTGCGATGTATTTAATTATAAAAAATTCGCAGCGTCACCTCATTAATGTTAATCGTTAACCGTATTTTAAAAGAGCGGCTTCCATCAACTTGTGATTAACTTAACTGGTAAAATCATTTAAAAGTTTTCTAACTACATAATTCACTAAAAGAGAACTAGTATTGAACAAAGGAAGAAGATAGGAGGTATAGAATAAGTCAGGTAGCACAAAAAGATATGTTCCATATTCTAAATTGTAAAGCAATAAAAATGAACTGAAAAGAAGAGTTTCTATAGAAAGACTTGGAAATAATAAAGATAAATAATGGGAGAAAAAAGAAATAACTAGAAGAAAAAGACAAATTTGCTTAGTTCGATAGTTTGATGGTTCACTATTTAATATCAAAAAATGAAATTTAAAAAAGTTTCAGTTTAACTTAGCAGAAATTTTTCACAGTTGTATAAGTGTCTTTCAATCCATTATTTTACGAAGATACAGATTATACAGATTAAATAAGATTGAATAATATAAAATAGCTTACACATAGAGTAAAAAAAAGTTAAGTAAAATTAGTTCTGTTTGTTTGTCTGAAATATAAAATACATAAAAAGTATATGTAGATATAAAAAATATAAAGTATGAAATGTTTAGAAGCCATCGCCATCTTAAGCTATAAGGTAAGGAATAAAATTAAATAAATAATAATTCATTGTTGATTAATTATTTAGTAATATATTACACAAATCAATAAAAAACCAATTAGTCTATCCATATCAACAAAATTCTACAATCATCGATAAATCGTTGTTAAAAATATTTAAAAAAGTTTAATCATTCTGAAAAAATGAGGCACTATCAGTTCCTGAAGATATTATCACAGATTTAATATAAATAGACAATAATAGAGCAGAGCAAGATGTGAAGGACCGACCTAATTGGACATTTTCGAAACCGGAAATACTTCTCACTGTGTCATTTCCCTCTCCTTCTCTTTATTAGTTTTATAAATTCTTCAAAAAAAAAAATGATTTTCCTCTCTCGAAATATTTATCTCTTCTATCCCTCCTTTTTTCATAATCAGATTTACGAAACCTTGACAACTTGATATCCGCGATTAATTCAACCAGCAGATGTCTATCTTTATTACTGCAAATTAATTTCGGCAAATTAATGCGATTATTTTTTTCCAGTTCTAAGAATTTAAAAGAGACAGAAAGACATAAGGCAGAAAAACATAGAGCAAGTTGAATCGAGATAAAAATTAATCTAAATATTAGTAAAAATCGGACAAAAGAATCGCCCGAAGCAAACACAAATTCGACCTCGAAACTAATTCTTTACGTTAAAAACAACAAAAAAATCAATAATTCCATCCACATTGATGAAGCAACGCGAGTATGACTGTAAATTAATCGCCGATATGACAATTGGAGTTTGATCGAAGTTGGTCTCTGCCATTCCAAGTGCAAAATGCACGACGCAAAACGGCTAAAAACAACACGTATGGATATGGAAAAAAAATTCTATACAGGGTGTCCCAACTTTATCGCAACGTTAATAACGTTAACGAGGTGGGGAGGGAACTGAAATTATCCTCTCTCCCGTCGAGGATGTCGTTATCGATGTTGTCATCGAAGAAAGTCGCGAAATTTCTCCGATGCCATTACTTTTGGCGTCTTTCGCTTTCACTATACATAAATAGATGCAGTCACGCAGATGCGTCGCGTTATCTACGATCCAACGACATCTCAGAACACCTACCGAACGTCTATCGAAGGTCATGACATCGTGCATGAATACGTGATGACACGACATATAATCGTGGATTATGATAACCATTGTTCTACATGGAGATAAAAAGCACAAGACCAGATCGTCCCTATGATTACAAAATTGCGTCATGGGACAAGTCTTATAGGCTTCTTCGAGAGAGAGAGAGAGAGAGAGAGAGGGAGAGAGAGAGAGAGAGAGAGAGAGAGAGAGAGAGAGAGAAAGGAAAAGAGAATCGCACACATATTTTCGTGTTCCCGATTATGATGGCCCGTCCATCTTTTCATTGCGAACGTGATACTCACAGCGTACTGCTGAAGGAATTGAAGAAAGCATTCAGATTCAGAGCTGATGCCATAATTTTGCCGTCACTTCTGACTCGCTGGAGCTCGAATGGGGTTGTGGCTCTCGCCTTTATCTGGGCTGGTTCACTAGTCTTGACCGCTGACGATCAACGCGTTGCACGGAACGTTCCGCTCGCTTGCACCTCAATGACTGGCGGTATTGCCCGGCTAATTCCTATGCACGCGGGGAAGGCGAGGATTATCGGCGAGGCAAGTCGACGAATTACACGCACGTACGTAGCCGATCTCCGTGCGAGGACACGTCAGTGATATTCCTACGCGTAGAAGCCAGTCGACGGGGCAGACGAGGATAGGAGAGAACGGACGCGACCGATTGGCCATGCGCACCGTCAGCCCCCTCCCGCCGATCGTACGGCGTCGCCACCAGATGGCGGCAGCCTCGAATACGCTATACAGTGTCCCAAAAACATAGACTTTCCCCCTTTGCATCCATTTATACCAATTTGTTTAATTTTAATCAATTTTGATCAGTTCAACTAATTCATCTTTTTCTAGTTCTAAATATAAAAAAAAAGGAAGAATAAGTTGAACTAAGATTAAAATTACTCCGATTAACTTGTCAACATTGTTGTGAATAATTCGTCAGAATTATTCACAAGTTAATACATAATTCTATTGTAATCCAATGTTTGTAATTTAAACTTTTTATCTGCTGAACGTACTTAACAGAAACATTAATATTTCATCCATGACAATGAAATAATACAGATACTAAATTAGTCATCGATTAAATTAATTAAAGTTTGATTGAAGTTATCTATATATAGTCTATCTTGCATAAAGGATATCCGAATTATAATCAAAGTTTTATCATCGACATTCGTCTTTATCACTTTCTTGTAATTCTTTTTCTGCATTGTTTCTCTGCATTCTCTTTTCCTCTCGTTGATTGCTTCGAAAAAGGAAGTTTCGATATGTGTTTTATCTAGATACGCGACTTCGACACGAATGTTCTGAAATATTATAAACTATTCATTCACACATATATACATAACTTTGTCGTCATACACTTGCTCAGCAAAAATTCGACTTTCTGATGTATTCAAATGTTCGTCGAGTTATCGATAAATTGTTGTTCTTAATATCGTATGCACCTCTTCTTCATATAAATTAATATTAATATATAATTATAAACCATTATATATATATAATTATAAAGCATTATAATTTCTTTGAAATGATTAATATTCATATATTACATATGTATATAGTACGCGTAAACATATATATAACATATAAAAAACTAAATTAAAAAAAAAACAATCCTGTAAAGGATACATATCCCCCAAAAATACATTTAATTATATCAAATTTTATTTTCAAATTTTATGCGCTTTCTCGGGCTTTATAACCATTTGCAACTAATTAGAAAATACTATATTATTCTCTTTCTCTTAGTCCCCTAATATCGTACACTAAAAACATGCAGTCTTCGTGTCCGTTCAACGTATATATTCAAAAATTACAATGTAATTGTAAACTAACTTATGTAGGTCACACTACCGATTATATCTAACTGACAAAAAAGATCAATTGTAACTAGAATACGCAGCTCCTTTGATACGTTGCGATACTGTCCCTCCTATACACTCCGCTATGTAAAGCTATTAACACAGTTATTCAGTAGAATTTATTGTAATTGTGAAACGACTAATATGAATGCCTTGAACGCTATATAATTCTCACTGCAATAATATCGCGTTAATTAAGCAACAACTTTAAGATGGAAGACACTGCATTCTTCGAATATTGCCTTCCGATTGATTATCGGTGTCCTCGAACGAGCTGTCCATTGAGAAGTCATCTAAGTGATAATCATCGTCACTGTCTCGATTTCAATCTTCGTATCCATAAGGCCTATAAAGATCCTAAAAAAAACACGATCGAATAGTCAATTTTTTGACATCGACAAAAATGCCCGATATGTATAACTTACACATAACGACTCTCTCTGATGGATAAGACTCAGTAAGTCCCAACAATGACCATCCAATGAATCTTCCTTCCTATTCCTTGCATTGGACTTGACACACTTGTGAAAAAAAAACAAAGCACGTGAATCATATCACATTTATCGAAATGTAATTAGTCTACTTAGTTTTTCTTATTTCAGGAACGCGCGCGCGTGAAAAATTATTGTTAAATGATATGATAAAATAAAGAGAAATACAAAACAGAAGACATTATGGAAAGATCATTTTTGTCTTTACGTACATTTGCGAATGATTTCATTACCGGAGGTTCTCCACACGAAGGTATCCATATCTTAATATCGTAATCTAATCCACTTGTCGCGAGGATGGGAATATGCGGGTGTCCCTCTAAGCAATTTACCTATAAATAAAATTTTCAAAAAGATAACTATTTTCTTTCTACACTGTGCAAAAGAAAAATTTATTTTTCATCGAATTTATGAAGTGTGTAAACTCACAACTCCTTGCTTGTCTCCTGCCATCCACTGTACAATGGCTTCTGTATTTTTATCCCAAATGAATATATTACCGCAATCAGATCCAGATGCAACATACTCGCTTTTAGGACCGAAAAAATTGACTCCCTTTACTGCAATCAAGTGACATAGATGACTGCAATATCAAATATTATTAAATCGAAATTACTATCCCGAATTAAAAGAGATATGTATATAGAAGATTTTCAGAAAGAAATTTCTTAGCACCAAAACAAATTGAAGTGTTTCAATGAATCCTATTACTGTTAGTTTTTCTCTATTGATTGAAACGCACGCAAAGAAAAAAGATAAAAAATCTAGGATGGAAGATATAGAATACAATAATGTAATTGCATTTTACGCAATTGCATATTACGTACCAGTTACACAATTTCTATGACCCTGATATTTATGAGCGTAATCTACATGTAAAGACATTCTATCAAATAGATAGATGTCTTCGTCATTGTATGACGCGAGAATTTCTGTTCCGTTGTGATTATATACAGCACACGTTACATGCGCGTGCTTATTCCCTGTCTGAGACATTTAAATTACTTATGTAAAATTAAACACAAGTAGAGAAAATCGAGCCACACTATTCTATTGTATTAAATATTGATAAACTTCTTCAACAATAGGATTATAATACAATACGTACCAAGTGGTCGGGGCACAGTTTATAAAGCGGCATCAAAACTTTTCGCCGATCATATACTCTCACATAATAAGAATAACCGCCGATACAAAATTCATTACTATTAAAAGGATTAGAATGTATACTGAACAGTTGCACTTCTGACGAACCTTCCTTTACTACAAGTAATCTATAAAGAAAAGTTTTCATATATATATATATATATTAATTACACGAAAAATAAACATATGTAAATATACTGTGACCTATAGACTGATAAATAAAAAATAGACTGATAAATATTAAATACATATATTTAAATTTTTTAATCATAATGATTTACTCATTTGGTTTGCTCTCTCGAATATCTATGGAGAATACCCTTGCATCTTCTCCAGCAGAAAAGACTACATGTGGTGTTTCAGGATGCAGAGCTAATTTGTGCGATGGTCCACGATGCGCTGCCAATTTCTTCGATGAGTCGTGTTCAAGATCTCGCAAACGTATTTGACCGTCTATAGAACAAGTGACCATAAAATACTCTACGTCTAACGGCAACCACTTAACCTAAATAATTAAATTAGGAAAACAAGAAAGATAATTACATAATTACGTAGATAACTAATAGTAATAAACCTTTATAATTGATGAAACACTAATCGCATTGCTTTAATTATAAGTATACATACATACTTGATACACACTGCTTGTATGACCACTTATAAACCAGTGACGCTTTTTTCCTACAGCCCAATCCCAAATAACAATTGCTAAATCATCAGAGGCACTGGCTAATAAATTTCCTTTTTGATTAAAATTTAAGGCATTTACACAACCCTATAAATAATCAAATGTTAATTCATACCACTAAATATTCATTAAAAAATAGCCTAGCCATGATCTCATAAAACATCTTATAACTCAATGCACAGCGTTTCCAAGAATAATTTACCCGTTGCTCGTTAAGATTATACATAAGCTCGAGTCGTTCTACTGCATGTAAAGAACCATAAAATTTTCTTTGGAATAATGGATTGCTATATATTTGCCGATTTATCACTTCCGGTACAATATGCCAATTAGGAAGTGGTTTCTCTATTTTTAGGCAATGAGGTATTTCTTCATCCTTGTCCTCGTCCCCATCTTCATCCTCATCATCATCTTCAATCCATTCACATTCAGATATCCACGAAAACTCTTCAGTCGAGTCTACTGTCCAGAATTTAAAATTTTACATCTTACCAAACAAGTAGAGTAAACATTAAAAAAGTATAAAATACCTCTTTCATCTTTAGTATTATCGTATATAATTATTTAACATTATTAATATATTTTTGTGATCTTATGTATCATTCAACAAAACTTTTTAAATATAATTATAGATATTTAGCAAATATCTATAGATAAATAGCAAAATTATAAATATACATATATCAAAACCAAAATTTTTTATATGTAAGAAAGCAATTACCTTCATCTGCATCAGGAATGGGAGCTTTTCTTGTTACTTCATTAGACAAGGTATTACTAGAATTGTCTTTATTATCACTTATTATATTTCGTCTCTTACGATAATTTCGCTGTTTCACTTTTGATTTGTTCTTTTGAAACGTCACTGTATTGTCATTTACGTTTCCAGTACTGATGTTACATGCAATCTTATTTAATTTTTGCCGCTTACTAAAATCTTTGTCTAAGCTATCGTCTGATTTTTCTATCGACGTGCCACTACCGATATACTTGACCTTTAGAGATACTTATTTTGAGTTTATTCAGATCTGTGTATAATACGTTTGCTTCGTTAATACAAGAAGATGAAGTATTGTCTTGCAAAGTAGTCGCTTCTGATAAATCAACTGAATTAAAATTGGTAGCATATAAGATTTCTTTTAACACATAATTAGTTTTGTCGTATTTATCAGTTGTTATCTTAATCTTGTTTTCTGTAGAAAGTTCCACAGACTCGTTTGTTTGTTCATTTTGCATAGATCCACAAGCGAGATTGTTATCAAATCTGGCTATATGACTAGAGATTTTTGAAGTGACACTGCTGTTGGACGTAACACTAAAATTATCTACATTCCTTGAAATGATTGAATCTTCTAAAGAGTTCGATTGCACTTTTCTAGATTTCTCAGAATCCTTGATGTCAGGAAATTTTATCTCAAAATCATTATCAACATCATGTATCTTATTTTCAAAGTTCATTTTATTTTCGAGATTTTAGATGTAGGTATTCCTTTTGTTTATTCAGAGTGTCATCATCCCTTCAAAAAGACACATCTGCAGTTACAACATGTCCAATGTTTATCTAAAAAGTGATGATTATAAAAATTCATATAATATATAATGAGAAATCTCTTTACATATTACAAACTTATTTTACATATTTATTTTATATATATATATATATATATATAAAATGTATATACTTAAAATAAAATATTAATTTATGTATTTTGTCTACTTTATATATAATATTATAGTATATTTTATAATAGTATTTTTATAATAGTATATTTTATAAGTATGTATACATTTGAATAAATTATTTAAAAAATTAAGAAAAAAGATTCTTATCTATCTGAAATTCATCAACATCCATCAAAAACTTTTTTCTTAATTAAATGGACAACTTCATATTATCCAAAACATTAATCTATATTCAGAATGCATACCGACATTATCGAATAATTAATATGTTGGAACTCAGGTTTGAAATTACTAAATGTAATTTATTAAAATCGGGTGAATATACAATTTCAATGAAATAAAGCAACTTGGAACGTTTATTGTACGTTATTCTATAACGCACGAACAGAAAGTGAAGAATCGAAGAAGTAAACACCGTCATGACAACGAGAAACAGGAGAAAAACTATCAAAAGAAACACGTTCAGTATGAATTCTATTAATGCTTGTATCAAATACGCAAAGTTCAAACATTACTCTTTCACTGTTTTAACATAGTACATGTATAGCCCATTTTATATAATATATAGAATTTATATAGAAATAAAAGCATTTATCAATAAATTCGGGCCTATAAATCACAAAGTATTCGGTAATTAAGTACAAAAGTAACAATTATTTCAAACTCGACAAAAAAATATCAAAATCTTTTTTTAAAAAGCTTTATGTCACTATGACATTTCAAAAAGCCAAAATATTCTTCTCATAGTTTTATAAAGTCAAAAATAATTTAAAGCTTATTTATTTCTCGAGAAATTCACCATTTCGACATTTCAGGAAGATAAAACATTTTCGTTATAAATTTTTAAAGATAAAACTAAATTTAAAATAGATTAAATAAGAAGAATCCTGATGTAAAACTACAATGTAAATCACTGCAAAGAATCGCAAGTTGTTGAGATTGTAGACACAATTAGCTCATCATCGTTTAACACAATTGTCATTCTTAACGCAATTCCGCATTAGTGTAAGGGAGACGTTAAAAAGAGTTGCATCTCGAGTTATGGATATTAATCGCACAACGATGAAATAACGAGATCCTGCATTACTTACATAAATTCGCCATCCGCATTCCGATCCCCTTTTTTTTCTGCTTTTTCTTTTTAGCGAAATTATTTGCTAAAATAGCCAGTGACATACGCAATGTAACACGCATATTGACACGGCTATGAATGTACAGAGTTTTACCAAGGGACGTTGAGTTTTCTCGACGATACGAACAAGACGTCATTGGTCGTTCGAGTGAAGAAACAAGACACGAACCGCGGACATGAACTAGAACCAGCTGCCTCATCCGCTGTCGATGTGATACTCACATAGTAGTGGGTTACTCACCATGAGATTTTCACTGACGGAACGCGGTATTATCACATACAAAGGTTTCCAATCACAGCGATACTACGATCACAATACGATGCACATACAGTAAAGTAAATATATAACTCGTATAGGAGAGAATTCAACGGACGTTACAGATTGGCCGTCAAATAAAACCTCCTCCCGCCGATCGCGCGGCGTTGCCATCAGGTGACGGCAGCCTCGATCATGTTAAGTGTCCCGAAAACATGGACGTTCCCTTCGCATCTATTTGTACCAATTTGTTTAATTTGAATAAATTTTAATATAGGTTCAACTAATTCATCTTTTTCTAGTTCTAAATATAAAAAAAAAAAAGAATAAGTTGAAGCGAGATTAAAGTTAATTCCGATTAACTTATCGACAATTCGTCAGAATTATTCACAAGTTAATATATAATTCTATTATAATCCAATGTTTGTAATTTAAACTTTTTATCTATTCTTAATCCACCTCTTCTTCATATAAATATTAATATGTAATTATACAAATAAAATAGCATCATAATTTCTTAGAAATATGATTGTTATATTCATATATTACATGTATTATATAAGCGCGTAAACATATATATATATACATATAAACCAAATTAAAAAAAAAAACAATCCAGAAGAGAATATATACCCCCACAACATTTGTTAATTATATCAAACGCTTTCAAATTTTATACGTTTTCTCCGGCTTTATAATCACAAACAAGTTTACAAACTTAGTAGAAAATACTATAATTCTCTTTCTCTTAGTTATCCCTTAATATGTTGTACACTAAAAACATAGTCTTCGTGTCCTTTCAACATATATATTCAAAAATTACAATGTAACTGTAAACCAACTTATGTAGATCACACTACCGATTATATCTAACTGATAAAAAAGATCAATTGTAACTAGAATACGCAGCTCCTTTGATACGTTGCAGTACTGTTCCTCCTATACACTCCGCTATGTAAAGCTATTGACACAGTTATTCAGTAGAATTTATTATAATTGTGAAACGACTAACATGAATGCTTTGAACGCTATGTAACTCTCATCGCAATAATATCAAATCGCGTTAATTAAGCAACAATTTTAAGACGGAGGACATTGTATTCTTCGAACATCGCCTTCCGATTGATTATCACTGTCCTCGGACGAGCTGTCCATCGAGGAATCATCAAAGTGATAATCATCGTCATCATCATCGTCTTCATCTCGATTTGGAGTCTCGAGTCCGTAACGCGTATAAAGATTCTAAGAAAAACACGATAGAATAGTCAATTTTTCGACATCGACAAAAGTGCCCGATATACTTACACGTACTCTCTCTCTATGACGGATATGTCTCAGTAAAATCCAAAGTAATTGGCCATCGAATGAATCAGGCACGTTTTCTTGCTTTCTATTCCTTGCATTGGACTTGACACACTTGTGAAAAAAAAACCAGAACACATGAATCATATGTTTATCGAAATGTAATTAGTCTACTTAGTTTTTCTTATTTCAGGAACGCGCGCATGTGAAAAATTATTATTAAATGATACGATAAAATAAAAAGAAATACAAAACGGAAGACATTATGGAAAAATGATGTTTGTCTTTACGTACATTCGCGAATGATTTCATCACTGGAGGTTCTCCACACGAAGGTACCCATATCTTAACATCGTAATCTAATCCACTTGTCGCGAGGATGGGAATATGTGGGTGTCCCTCTAAGCAATTTACCTATAAATTAAATTTTAAAAAATACTGCTATTTTCTTTCTACACTTTGAAAAAGAAAAATTTGTTTTTCATCAAATTTATGAAGAATGGAAACTCACAACTCCTTGCTTGTCTCCTGTCATCCACTGTACAACGGCTTCCGTATTTTTATCCCAAATGAATATATTACCGCAATCAGATCCAGATACAACATACTCGCTTTTAGGACCGAAAAAATTGACTCCCTTTACTGCAATCAAGTGACACAGATGACTGCAATATCAAATATTAATAAATCGGAATTATTGTCGCGAATTAAAAGAAATATAAAGAACGATTTCCAGAAAGAAATCTCTCAGCACAAAAAACAAATTAAAGTGCTTCACTGAATCTTGTTACAGTTAGTTTTTCTCTGTCGAAACGCACACAAAGAAAAGAGATAAAAAATCTAGAATGGAAAGGATAGAATACAATATAATTTCATTTTATGCAATTGCATATTACGTACCAGTTGCACTATTTCTATGACCCTGATATTTATGAGCGTAATCTACATGTGAAGACATTAATCTATCAAATAGGTAGATGTCTTCGTCATTGTATGACGCGAGAATTTCTGTTCCGTTGTGATTATATACAGCACACGTTACATGCGCGTGCTTATTCCCTGTCTGAGACATTTAAATTACATATATAAAATTAAACATATGTAAAGAAAAACGAGTTAGTTCTATTGTATTAAGTATTGGTAAACTTTTTTCATTAACAGGATTGTAATACAATATGACATACCAAGTGATCGGGGCACAGTTTATAAAGCGGTGTCGAAACTTTTCGCCGATCATATACTCTCACATAATGGGAACGGCCGCCGACACAAAATTCATTACTATTAAAAGGATTAGAATGTATACTAAACAGTTGCACTTCTGACGAACCTTCCTTTACTACAAGTAATCTATGGATAAAGAAGTTTTCATATATATATATATATATATATTAGGTGTTGGAATTAATTATATATATATTTTTACACGAATAATAAACATATGTAAATATATTGTGACCTATAGACTGATAAATAAAAAATAAACATATATTTAAATTTTTTAATCATAATGACTTACTTGTTTGGTTTGCTTTCCCGAATGTCTATGGAGAATACCCTTGCATCTTCTCCAGCAGAGAAGACTACATGTGGTGTTTCGGGATGCACAGCCAATTTGTGCGATGGTCCACGATGCGTTGCCAATTTCTTTGATGTGTCGTGTTCAAGATCCAGTAAACGTACCTGACCATCTCTAGCACAAGTGACCATAAGATATTCTACATCTAACGGCAACCACTTGGCCTAAATAATTAGGAAAATAAGAAAGATAAATATATAATTATGTAGATAACTAATAATAATAAACCTTTATAATTGACTAAATATTCTAATCACAATGCTTTAACTATAAGTATATATAATTGTACAAGTATACATACTTGAAACATATTACTTGTATGGCCACTCATAAACCAGTGACGTTTTTTTCCTACAGCCCAATCCCAAATAACAACTGCTAAATCATCAGAGGCACTGGCTAATAAATTTCCTTTTTGATTGAAATTTAAGGCATTTACGCAACCCTATAAATTATCAAATGTTAATTTATACCACTAAATAATCATTAAAAAAATAGCCTAATAA